GCAGCGGCGGGCGGCAATGGGCAGCAGCGGGCGGCACTGGGCAGCGGCGGGCAGCGGCGGACAGCAGCGGGTGGTACTGGGCAGCAGCGGGCGGCACTGGGCAGCAGCGGGTGGCACTGGGCAGTAGCGGGTGTACTGGGCAGCGGCGGGCGGCACTGGGCAGCAGCGGGTGGCACTGGGCAGTAGCGGGTGGTACTGGGCAGCGGCGGGCGGCACTGGGCAACAGCGGTGGCACTGGGCAGCGGCGGGCGGCACTGGGCAGCGGCGGGCGGCACTGGGCAGCAGCAGGCGGCACTGGGCAGAGCGGGCGGCACTGGCAGTAGCGGGTGGTACTGGGCAGCAGCGGGGGGCACTGGGCAGCAGCGGGCGGCACTGGGCAGCGGCGGGCGGCACTGGGCAGCGGCGGGGGGCACTGGGCAGCGGCGGGCGGCACTGGGCAGCGGCGGGCGCACTGGGCAGCAGCGGGCAGCAGCGGGCGGCACTGGGCAGCGGCGGCCGCCACTGGGCAGCAGCGGGCGGCACTGGGCAGCAGCGGGCGGCACTGGCAGCAGCGGGCGGTACTGGGCATCAGCGGGCGGCACTGGGCAGTAGCGGGCGGTACTGGGCAGTAGCGAGTGGCACTGGGCAGTAGCGGGCGGTACTGGGCAGTAGCGGGTGGCTCTGGGCCGTACCGGGCAGTATTTGGTTTTAAATTTATAAGAGAATAAGAGACAATGCGTTTATAGCTACCGGGTAGTACATTTACTAGCAATGGGTAGTACCGGGCGATACCGGACAGTATTTCATATGAAATTTATAAGAGAAAAAGAGACAAATAATGTGTTTATAGATACCGGGCAGCACTTTTATTAGTGCCGGGCGGTACCGGTCAGTACTGGGAGGTACCGGCCAGTACCAGGCAGTATTTAGAATGAAATTTGTAAGAAAAAAAGAGACGAATAATGCATTTATAGCTACTGGGCAGTAGATTAATTAGCACCAGGCTAATACTGCCTGGTACTGCCTGTCGCCTACCCCAAGAAACACGCTCCTTGATAAAAGCTTTTGAACGAGTGGTCAACCATCTCTCTATTTCCGTCCTCGAGATTTTTGTTTCTAAATTTATGGTACCTCTATATGTATGTATGTATATACGTCCCAATAACGGTTGGGTGGGAACCCCTTGTATATCAGCTTCACTTGGGCCGACTCCAATGAACCTTGCTACTCTTGAACATTGGCCTGACTAGGTTCAGATCCAAGTTTCATGTCTCTACCTGTTATGGAACCCTTTTTTCTAGAACGCTCAAACCCACTGTTTGGCATAAACGTGTATCTACACTGGCCCTGGTTTCAGATGGAAGTTCTTGGATCTGACTTTTCGTAGTTTTTGCTATATGGCTATTGTTTGGGAGTGGATATGACTAGTTTAAGTTGATTTGAGTTGATTGGGTGATTTCTGGGGGAAGGGGGGAGGAGGTTTGGGTTATGGGTATATATATGTGTATATATATATATATATATATATATATATATAATATATATATATATATAATGCATATATCTTAAATATATATACATATACATATATATATATAATATATATATATACATATATATACATATATATATACATATATCTTAAATATATATACATATATATATATATATATACATAATATTAATATATACATACACACACACACACACACACACACACGTGTGCGTGTTTTTGTGTGTATTTATATATACTATGTATAAAGATTTCGTTCGATACAGCCATGTTTGTTGCTGTGTAGCCTACCCCTATTGCGCATTGTCTGGATCGCTCATAGTCACATACATCGTGTGACGTCATGCACGGTTGGTGGCGCGATGTCAATTATTTAGCAGACGACGGGCGCGGGGAATACAAAACGCCGAATTTTTGGTTGAATTACAATTGCCTTTCCAAAATTTGACCTGGTATTGATTCTTTATGATTTAATGTATAATTATTCATGAACATGTAGGTTAGAGACTGGACCTTCCCTTTAAAGAAAAAAAAATCATCTTCAGCAGTTAGGTGATTTTGCGTTCTAAAAGGCAAAGAATCATTTTTTTTTTCTGCATCTGTATATATATATATATATATATATATATATATTATATATATATATTATATATATAATATATATATATATATTAGAGTGCTTTCCGATTTTATACACATGTTCATTACACTAGTTATAACTAGAATTTTAAGAAATTAGGATTAGGGTCCCAAAGTTTGTGCTTCGTATGACAAATCGCTTACTTTTGTCTTTTAGCCATTGACTCGTATCATAACCGAATCGTTAAGCGTTTTACATATTCAGTTGAACAATTCACATCTAATGGGACACCTCCTCAGGTATGCTAACATTTCTAAATAAATTTTTCCCTCTGAAATTGACAAAGATTGAAAGATATACCGGTACCTTCAACTGTTAGTAAATATGAATATTCATAGTTACCTCTGTCAAGGAGGTTATGTTTTGGTGGCGTCGGTTATTTTCTTCGTTGGTTAGTAGGGTAACTCAAAAAGTTATGAGCAGGTTTTTATTATTTTTTTACCAGAGATGTCTTAACTGAACTTGGATGCCATTAAGTTTTGGTGGTGATCCCGATCATGATCCAAATCCAGGATATTTTTATTTAGATCAGTCACCCCTATTGCCTATTATTATAATTTGATTTCATACCTCCACCAAGAAGTTATGGTTACAGTAGTCACCAATGTACTCGAAGATTAGGTGATTTAAATGTAATTCTTCAAGTGTGAATACTTTATCTGCATCTGTGACCCTATTACCTTAGCGAAGATATGCGCTCTCTGAGTGCCTCTAGTTAATTACAAAACAATTAAGGAATTCATATAACATGTTCCTTCGATTTCAAATACAGTTTTTTATGAAACAGAATGATTTAGGAAAACAGTATGAAAGTCGTCAGGGGTGGTATGGCATTAAAGTTATTGTTCAAATGCTACAGCGCAAAGAGTATATGAGTTTACATGAATACGCGTGAAGTTGCAAATGTGTATTCTGATCACGAATTGTTTTTTTTTTTTCTTTTTTAAATTTCTGTATTGTTTGTTATTTTACAGGGAATCTAATCTTACTAAAGTGACATCATTCCTATATATAGGACAGACTGGATAGCTTGAATTGTTATTTTTGAAAATGGATCAGCAAAGCGCACTCGTAGAACAGGTAAGGACTTGACATGCAGATATAATTTGAAGACCAAGAAATGAGAAAAAAATGCACGGAAAGACTGCTACTAGTACATTAGCTTTCTCTGGGCAAAGTTCATTTACTATAAAAATAGCCTTTGACCTCCTTAGCAAGGTTGCTGATACGGGTGAGTGTTTCCATGTCGAACTCGCATCCGTGGCAGACAGTTGTCCCTAATGAGATATTCACATTTTTCTGGGAGATTTCAATGCAGTCCATGGTCCGACAGAAACGTTTCCAGCAGCGAGAATAGCCTCCTTCTTTGGGACTTTGCTAGGTCCCAGACGCTGAGGATTTCTGACTCCTGGTATTAGCTTGTGGCGGACGCCACAATCACCTCGGCACCGGCGCTGTCTCGAACCGCACAATTACCTCACTTGGCACCGGCACACCTCACTCGGCTGAATTGCCCCTACGCCGAGTCAGCCGGCAGGCAAGCGTGGCGAGGCCCGCGGCGCTGATTCGCCGCGACACGAAAGTTAAGGATACAGCCTTCGGCCAATCAGCACACTCAGCCACAAACGTCCAGCAGTGTTACTTTGTCCCTTTAGCATTTATAATGCATTTCTCGCCAAAAATATATACACTTCACAGTCTTCTCTGCACTTCAGTGTTTACTTCACCTTACCACTCAAGACCTTAGCTCTTGACTACCTCGCTCGGAGGCCTTTCTACAAGCTCTCCAACCTGCCTCGCTGGACTTGGTATTGTACAATAATGCGGGTAATGTGGCCGAAAGGGTTGAGCTTAGCCTTGTTAACACTCGTTGGAGAATCCTCTAAATTAACAGGGTTTACCGGAGTGCTGAGTCTTATGGTGCTTACCATAGAATGGTTATAGTTACCATTCGGTTCCCTTTCAAAACCTACTGTACACTCTAGAGAGGAGCGTGCCCTGAAGTTTGGCTACCTTTGACCGATTGAGGGAAATGAGGAAATATGAAATATGGACTACATGACGCGCAACAAAATTCTACAAAAGCTACTGGAACTGCCACGTTCCACTGCGTGTTGTGTCAATTCACGGTTGTCCGTTTTCGCCAGTAGACTGCGGAGGTTCTCAAAGCGAGAGGTCTCGAAACCCAGAGGTCTCGCAAAATAATTTTAAATGATAGCGAGATCCTGCAACCCCTCCTCCGCCTATTCCTACCCATCCTAACGGGTATAGAACTTGCCAGCGGTGGTCGATCTGCCCGATGTTCGATAATCGGTTCGGTATCAGAAAGACACCTTATGTAAACATGCTTTTTTATGTTTGCATGCGTTAGTGATTGTCAGAAATGTTTGTTGCTTAGGGGGTGAGTTGCGAATCTATCGAAGTACTTTTTAGGGGCCGTAGCCAAACAAGTCTGAGACCACTGGGCTATCGGAAGGTGATTCGGGAAATTCTGTGATTTACCGTATAAACAATTTGTAATATACAAAGCAGTGTGTTGCAATATGATGCAGTTGCGAAACAATTATGGGACATTTCCAAACAATTAATCTTACTAGTACCCAGGAAAATTAATATTTCTGGGAGAAACGCACAAAATAGTATGTGAATATCCCAGTTGGAACTATGTCTATAGTGTGAACAAAAATGTTGAAATCCTCAAAAAGTCGTTTTACAGTAACCTACATTTCGCCGATATAGATTACCATTATTGCTTCATGCAGGCAATGACCTTGGGTCATTTACGAAACTACATTTACGGAACGGAGATAAATCCACCTGGAAATTAGGCCGTGGCAACTCACCCACGTGTTATTGTTTACATGGCCT